AAAATAATAATCGTCGCTATTGTATCGTTAAAAATTAGAAAATTAAGCCTCGTTTAAATACCGGCTCCCTTTCATGGTTGAATGAGTGTTGCCAGCTAAAACACGTAAAAATAATATTAAAGTAGCCAAGACATAGCCAAATATTGTAGCGCCACATCACTAGCGGACATTTGAAATTTGCCGACTAGGACAGTCGGTTAACCGATGTGTCGGTTAACCAAGGTGTCTGTTAATCGGGGGTCGGATAATCGAGGCTCTACTGTATAATACTTTATATCTTGTAAAAAATTTTATATCTTGATGCAAGAATAATTTTTCTTAAATGTTGCTTATTATTATAAATAGAACACAAATAGGTTTGTCTTTTAAATAAAAATGCATTTGAAACAAATACGTAAAATGACTATACTATATGATTTTAATAAACAAAAACTACTTGATTAAAGCTATCAAAATTATTTACTACACAATATTTTGTCTGACTTCAGGAAGTTCTTAGTGTGGTATAGATCAAATGTAGAATAATTGAAATGGAATATTTAATAAAATAGAAAAAATTTTGATAACTTTAGTCAAACAGTTTTTGTTTCTTAAAATTCTATAATATAATCACTTTACCTGATATCTTTCAAATGGTTTATTATTTTAAAAACGCTTATTCGTGTTCTATTTATAATAATAAACAACATCTAAGAAAAATTATTCTTGCTTCAAGATATAAAAATTTTTCGTTCATTATTATATAATGCTTGAAATGAATCAGAAATCGCTTCTCATAAAAATATGCAAAAATATAATTAATCTCAGCTATGTAAATTATATACAAAATAATAAAGAAAATTTAAAATATTAAACTATTTTAATTCTTCAACATTAACAAAATAAAGTGAAAACGCAAAACAAACCTTGTTTTTGTTTAATGAAAGTGTTGTTAAATTAGGATTATAGAAAAATTCAACTCCATCATAAAGATCATTATTATCTAAAATTAATTCTTCAACATTTGGAAACAACTGCAATCCATCTAATGTCCTGCAAAAAATAAACAAGATTTACATTTTCATTAATTTTTATATTAATAATTAAATTTATTTTCATAAATTCTATTCTGTGCATAAAAATGAATAATCAAATTCAAAATGTAACTGAGTTTGCAACAAGAATATAATAATAAAAATTCACACCAATATTAATGTAAAAAATCAATATTTGTTTATTAATATCGTTTGGAATATTACATTAAATTTTCAGTTCTAACTACAATAATTATTAAATTGAACTTATATAAAGATAAAGTAATTAAAAACTAAAAATAATGTAAAGGAAAACATTTTATATCTGTATATTTTTGAAATTTTCATAATTGGAATAAATTTAATATAATAATAAAATTGAACAGATTGTTAACTATCATCAAATTCTTAAATCAGAAAAATAAATAGATAATGTATTACACAGACATTTGATAATATATAAAAGTATATTTGCAGATAAAACTTAAATGCATATGTAATTCATCTGGTAAGAACAAATTTGGATAATAAAGCATTAACATATTTTATTATTCAAATATTAGACCTATTTCTTGAAGATTGGCTATTAGATTTGGTAAAGATCAATGCCATGCAACTATAATCAACCAGATATGGTCAAGTTTCCCGACAGGAACTGCTCAATGGGTGAGGTGACAAGGAGACTTGCCTCAAGTGGCAAAATGCAAGGGTGACAAAATGAGCAGTCAAAAATACTTGAAAGGAGAAAAAGAAATAAAAATAATAAACTAAATACAGTAAATATACATTAATGTTGTTTATAAATAGTTCATATAAGAGTGCCAGCATTAGAAGTGGTCTCTGTTGACAACCATTCCAATGGCAAAAATCAGTTTTGCCTCATATATAAATTATCATTCAGTCAGCACTGCTTCCTGACAAATACATCTAGCAAATTAGACACTTACTCAAGAATAATTTCTTCCAGATAACACTAATATCAAAATAGAAATAATCACATTAAATCTATTCTATATATATCAAATACTTAAGTTAAAATCATCCTAAAACTTTTCCATCATGAGAAGAAAATAGAAATGGCAGTATGGAGAATTCATGAATTGTCACAAAATTTTTGAACAAGTGGACAAAGCCCCCTATTTTATATAATAACAGAGATACAGAATCATATTGAAATTACTAAAGAATAAAATTTTCATAAAACTTTTCATAGTACACGTTTTTTCATAAAAATAAAAATAATACAAAATGCAATATATATCTCTTTTGATGCTTATCAAGGTCAACCTTTTTTGTGTTTTGGTCTTGTTTAAGATAATCTTTTCCCATCGACCCTCTTCAATATTATATACATTATATATTACACAATATTATACAGATATCCCTTGTATAACACAGTAGTTACATTCTGAAAAAGTGCTGTGTTATGCAAATTCATGCTATACGAAAAAAAAGAGCTAATGCAAAACATAGGGTTATATTCCAGAAGTTAGCAAAATTATACTATTCTGTTTTGTTACTAAGAGAAATATGCTTATCAAAGCAATCAATAATTAATTAACAATCACAATTAAAAGTACTGTAATATGCATTAATATTAATTTTAGTTAAATGAGGGCATTTTCCTTTCACAAAGTATCTTGGTCAAAAGTGTCAGCAACATTTTCATATTTTTATTTTTTATCATAAAAATTTTTTATGGATGAAATAAAAATATGTTATTAATTGAAAATTTGTTCTAGTGGGTTGCATTTGTTCAGTAGAGTACCAAGTGACTTTTTTCCAGAATTTATGTTTGAATACTGAATTGTTCGAGTACCGAGCTACTGCTGTATTTAGTTCATCATTTTTACGAATGAAGTAAACATTCATAGATAAGTAATACCTATGGTTAAAAAAGTTTAATAACACTTAAAAATATTTAAATAAACTTTACTTAATATGAAGATTAATTTATAAAAAGAAAATACAGTGAGTCTTAAAGGCTAAAGTCTGAAAGCAGTGATGATGAAACATGATTGATGGGAAAGTTACTGTGATTTTTCTTTCCTTGTCCTATAGTTTTCATTAAAGTAAACCTGATGAAAAGCACAAAATAATTTGAAAATTTCAATATTCTAAAATTCATGGGCAAATTCGAGACAATACTGTGAGATAAATTTGTGCTTACTTAAATAAAAAAAATATTGAATAACAAAGTTTACACTTAAAAATTGTGAAATTTTGTACAGAGTATTTCCAAAACCATGTTAGAGCAAACATGGAAGTTGCGTTGTAGGGGGATATCCCCAATTTTCAACTGTGCTGTACAAAGGGATACTTGTATTATATATAAATACACATTCAACAGTCTCCTACTTAATTTAAATGGATCCTTCTATATTTGAAAGTGAAAAAAATATGCAAAATTTTAATATTTTTAAATAAATTTTTTATATTAGCAAAGTTTTGTCAACCCCTTCAAACTTTCACTGACTCCGAACAGGTCAATAATGATCTGTTGGGAAAAAACTCTGATGTAGAGAATTATCTGTTTGGAAAGTTGTCCTGTGTATACTTTCATTTTTAATATATGCCATTTACTTCTACAGTATTTTCAAGAAGCTTATCAAGTTACTACAAAATTAAACATATTATGATAATGCTGATTTAATAATATATTAATTAATGCGTTACTAATGCAGACAAGAGATTATCAAAATAAATGCGTGCAAAGTAATTTTCCAAATAAGCATTTTATTTATCTGAGAGTTATCTATCAAGCATGGGAATGTCATATGTTTTTAACTCTGTATCTTATAAGATGAATTTTAATAAAAATTGTGTAAATTGTAGAACTAATGATAATGTTCATATATTATGGAATATGATTCTTCAATTTTTCCTGAAAATACAGTACACATCAACAAGAACTGTCATTATATAATCAGTCACATTTACATAATAGTAAATAATTAAAAATGTAAACTTGACAGTGATTATATATACGAGGGACTATACTTTTGTATGTGGCCACATTTCATGAAAAGAAAAAGGGAAAAGAGGTCATTCCAGTTTTGACCTAAGACAATAGATGTAAAGGAGTGATGTGTCGTTTTCTTGAGAAGATGAAATTAGAAAACACTACAATGGACAATGTGAGGTATTAATTCTCAATCTACTGACACTAGAGAATTTTATCAATAGTATATTGTAAAACTATTGTTAACTTGTAGTTATTAATTACTTTTCTTAAGAAAAAAGAAAATATTAATAAAAGACCTTTCCTTTATGTAAGTTATTAAAAGGAATGTAAATAACTATGCAAAAACCTTAGAACAATTTGAATATGCTATGAAAAAAACCATATTTAATTTGGAAACAATATTCTTAGTTTAACACGAAAATGTTAAAAATTTATCATAATGTAACAGTAATTAATATTTTCATCAAGAATAAAATTTTAAAAAATGTTACAGTTTGAATGAATTTAAATAATGATAATAAATTTATTGCAATTTAGTTTAATAACTAATATATCAAAGTAGAGAATATTTTGCGCATGAAATCAAACTTTCAAATATTTCTGAAATCAAAAATATAATGTATGAAAATATCCAATTACATTATCTTTCATCATCTTGTATATATAAATTCGTATAAAAAATTCTCTCTAAAAATTAAAATACATGTTCTGCTACTTACCTAATGGAATTATAACTTAAATCTAATCTTTTCACTTGAGATCCATAGGTTAATCCAAGTATGGCTGGTATCCTATAACATTCTTGTCCAATGTAAGATAACTATATTAAAATAAAAACAAAGAACAATGTTAATTGTTTTAATTTATAAATTTGTTACTTAAGATGTTAAAAATTAATACTAGACAATTATTTATAGTACATTTTAAAATTAAAATAGTGTTTTAAATAATATTTACAATTTTTTCCATTTACAGATATTTTTAATAAAACTAAATTGCATAAAATATTTTAAAATAATTAATTATAAGTGTCAGGAGTCTGATCTCGATTGGCTGCCTGATTTGTTTGATATAGTTAGCTGGGCCTAACTTTATCAATTATTAATCTTAGTGTAACAAAGGGTGGATCAATATTTTATTGGACCTGGTTCTATGATGTCAGAAAAACTCTATGACCATAAAGTGAAAAGAGATGGCGGTAGCAGGTTCCTTTCAGATGAGTCAGGAAACAATCATCTTAGTCATGCCAGTAAGAAAGCAGCTTGAGTCAGGGACTCACATCTAATGTGTATTCTGACTATAGAATTAGAATTTGGGAACATGTATTAAGGATGTGTGACTTGCAACGACCATACTTTCTGGAGTATAAGACGACCCCTAACTTTTACAGTTAAAATAAAGAGTTTGGGATATACTTGCCATATATGACAACACCCGGCATATAAGACGACCCCCCAACTTTTGAGAAGATTTTCATGGGTTAAAAAGTCTTATACGCCGGAAAATACAGTATATTTATAAACTGTAAATATTTCCTAACACTGTGTGTTTCTTACAGATATGAGTGAAACAGACTGTACATAAGTACTGTACATGTTATTTTGAGTATAAGTAAAGCATTTATTAATCTTTCATTTATTTTCTAACCAATAAATTTTTATGGAAAACAGAAACAAAAGCATAGAATCTTGACTTTACATTGAAATGGCATCTCTATCTAAACAGTTAACTTATATGTACTCATATTCTGAATAAACATACAAAAATAAAATTATACCAATATCATCATCATATTATGGAATAATGACTAAGCATTACGCAGTATAATTCAAACTATTAACAGTGACAAGGCATAAAAAATGCATTAATAAAAAAATTATCATCAATACGACATTACATTTATTCTATTTGATGCCATGGAAAACCTGAAATTTCATAAAATTTTAAATAATATTTCATTTATTTTTCAACCACTGATTATAATCATTCATAGCATTATCCTATTAGCATTTGTGAATTTAAAAATATATAAATATTTTCACTGCCTTAATAACAAACAATTAATTAAATTTTCATTAAAATATAAAGAGGAATATGTATTAACTAATAAATTACATATTTCAAATGGATATTTAATTTTTAAATGTATTTTAAAATAAATTATTTAATTTATTTAAAATCAGTTTAATTGTCAATATATTAAAACACATTTACGAATAAAAGAAATTTATGAATATCTAAAAATAAAAAAGATTTAATTGAAATAAAAATGGTTTAACTAAATATCCCAATAGATTTGTTATCTGTTTGCTAGATGATTGTGAAATTAATTACTTGATATCAATTAAAATTGTGACATTCTAGTGCTTATCATTGTGTATCAGAGCTTCTCTATTTGTTTAATATGATTAATTTAGCTTATGTAATAATTTTCCATTTTTTATTTAATTAATTATTAAATGAGTACTAGGAGACTTTTATTAACTTTATTCGTATAAAAATATTTTAACGCTTTCATGATAAATTAGTTTGATAAACATATTGATAGAAATTATCTTTCTAACAATTAATATATAATATATGAGAATAGCAGATATAAATGACAATGATAATATTCAGAATATTTAATTTTCTTATAATAAATTTATGATTGTTTTCAGTTTTTTAAATTATTATTATTGACCTTGTTTTAATAAAATAACAGTTTTTATTATTTTAAAAAATGTAAATATATTAATGTTTCCTTGAAACTCAGAAAACATATGAAGAGGCTATCACTTTATAAACATTATATTACATGTCTTTCTTACATTAAATACACTATATTAATTTAAATGTTGATTCGAATATAATGAGTTTTTAATAATTGAAATAACAGTATTTATATCTCTAATCCCAAAATAATTCTATTGGAATGTTCGCATAAAAGATTTACATTGTTTGATTTATCTAAAACCACTATTGAAGTAAACTAATTTTGAAAAGTGCGCAGAATTATTTTAAGGAAATTTTATTTAAAAATTATAATATTTCTACTTTTGTTTTACTATAAAACACTTGGAAGTCTTGGTAAACACACAAAATAGATAAAGTATTTCAAATAATAATTTGATAACTAAACTAGAAAAGTTTTAACTGGTGGTCATAAAAGGAGAGTTAATCAAATTATTCCAGTTTGTTTATCATTTAATTTTAAACTTATTTAATAACTGAATTAAGTTAAACAAAAAATGGAAACAGAAAAAGTAACTCTACCTTAATATCGGCTAATTTACATGTATCGGTCCAGGATTTTACGACGCACAGATGGGATAATATATCCATCCGAATATAAAAGAACTCGATTCAATTCGAATTCTAAATTGAAAGACAATTTACTTCCGGATCATTTATTACTATAACGAAGTCGAGTTTAAACATATTTTATACTTAAAGCTTAATTAGGAGAGAAAATTCGTTAAAGAAAAAATTAACATACTAATGTTATTAACGCGCCATGTTTTCTCCATTACTCTATCGCTCTATTTATATAAATGCGTAAGAAAAAATATTATAACTAAGTGGGCGTCCTTCAAACTGGAATTCTAAACGAATTTTAAAAATTGACGCCGCAGGAAATGTTAAGTTTTGACAAGAGTTGCGACACATCGATCATTCCCTTGGCTAAAATTACATCCGAAAGACGGAAACGAGAGAAGACATCCTTCGACCTTCCCTCATTCGATTTACCTCTTCGGCACATTTTAAATTTTATTTATCGAAATATTCCATAAAAGTAGAATATTCGAATGCGCAAAAACGATTTTTCCGCAAAGAAAATGAAGTATTTCCTTTTCGGTGTCCTATTTACTTTATAAAAATACAAGCGACTTTGTACTGTATTAAAAAGGCGCAAAATGTTAACTTTGGAATAAATTATTGTCGTATCTCGTAGAATTCCTTCCTACTTGAATAATTAAAAGTACTGTAAAGGCATTATATTTATTTATTTATTACTGAAGAATTAAAAAGGATTGATTTTATGCATGCGTACATTCGTTCGACTTAAAATTAATAAGGTGTCGAATGCAGTTAATTAGTAACGAATTTATGTAATTGTGAAGTAAATGTGACGCTGTTGATGAGTTACTTTCCACCTACAATAACTTATTTGAACTATTTCTAAGTATAACTATCAAATTCTACGCTAAAGACATACAAATCTGACACTTATATCATTAGCGCTCGTTTGATTAACGTAATGCTACTTAGTAACTATTCACGGAATTTTAAGCATACAATTTTGTACAAATTTTATTAGTGATTTCAATATAACTTTACTGAAATTCCGATAATAAAGTTTGTACATATCTAATTGAACATACGCTGTACTATGGCAATTTTTAACACTCCTTTTCAGTATTGAATTAACCATATTGCATGCATAAAAACATTAATTATTAATTATATATAAGGGTATGCGTTTTTTCGATATAATTATTCTCTTAAAATTGATAGCCCGTAAAAAAATATATAAAGTACAGAAAAAGTGATAAATCGAATATATTTTATGTATAAATTTATTAATTATGAACATTAAATTATCGCAGTAATAAAAGCTTTCATTAATTACTAAAATTTTAGTATAGCTAATTACTACGTTGGCAACAAGTAATAAATCAAGACTTTTATTGTGTAATAATTTACAAATTTTTAAATTCGAATTTACATTTAAAGTCTTACAAAATCAGATTTAAAAAAAAAATATTTCGTTTATATCAAAGAAAGGTTTTTCTCTTTAATACAGAACCTATTTTTTGTGTGTGTGTTTTTTTTTAATTTGTTATAGCCTATATCCAGGAAAATCTAGAAGCACCGAATCTTCGATTCAACCGTAAAAGGGTAAAAAAAAGTTGAAATCTGTAAGTGACGGAAGCAATTTCCAAAACGTCCAATGTCTTTACTCTAATAAAATTTACAACCGATCCGATCGAAACAAATTCAAAAGTTAAAACAACAAAAATATATGAAATTTTCAGCAAAGATATTAATAAAAACGAAAAAAAAACACCTACGGCAGCGACAATTTTTTAAATAATATAAAATGACCACTAACGCATTAAATCTCGTATCTACTTCATTTGTGATAAATGTATACAAAGTATATTAATTAAAAAGAAAAAAGCTCAATAACTACGAAATGTTAATCATATTTGAGATAGAAGCTGATATAAGCCGATAAAATTACGAACGATATATATTTCGCTACGGGCGACTCGTCACTAGCAAAAACAATTACTTTTCCAGTAAAAGTTATGTTTTAAATGAGATTCGAAATCTCACGCGAAAGTTCGAAATTAATCTTATAAATTAGCGAAGTTACGGCCGAAGTTTTCCATTTCTAAAACGTGAACGTCGAACGTCGAGCGCGGCGCTCGACGTTCGACGTTCACGTTTTAGAAATGGAAACTTCGGTCGCAACTTCGCTAATTTATAATTACTTCATAATTTAATATAAAAGTTTGAATGCCTACAAACATGATTGGCTAAATTACAGTTGAACTAAAGACAAATGACATTCTTTGAACAGATACGTCATTGTTTAAGTTTCTTAGATTGGCAGTACAAAGTTTTATCAAGATATTTTTATTTGAATTGGCTTTATACTTTCAATTATTTTAATAATTTTCAATTAAATTCGACCTACATATATAGAAGATTTTTCCGGAATAAAAAGAAAAAATAAAACTCACAGTAACGAAATCGTACTTGTAATCGATCATGAGTAATGGATTTTTAAAATTTTGTTCTTCAAATCCATTTATTTCTGTCCGTACAATTACAATCTACGTACCGGTAATATTTAAAAGAATTGTTTCTGTTCGTTTAAACGTTATGTTACTTTAAGTATCAAGTACAAAAACGTAAGTGAAGTAGAATTAATAAAATATGACAAATCGTTAGAAATCAACACAGATCAAGTTTAATAATCCCGATTTTTTTGCTTATAATGCAGATCAAATTTACTATCTGTTAGTAATTTTATGAACACTGAGTATCAATTTAAAAAAAATATATATTCGAGATTAATAATTGAAGGAAAAAGTATTAAAATATTTTGATGTATTTTTGTATTCATTATACTGACTTAAGAAATCTATACGGAACAGGAAATGAAGATGAAATTTTATCCTTTCTATATGTACAGTACAAACGAATTTCCGTTTTTATGATAAATTTACTCTTTATAAAGGAATTTTTTTTTTTTGGAAGAAATTGATCGATTTGCCTTTCAGAAAAGCTTATCGTCCTTTATATAAAAAGAAAGTTATACTTTTCTCGAACAACAAAAAGATATTAGCTATTAAGAATATCACTTAGAGCCGGGGTCGTGCAGAGGATACTAGGAGATCGAGTACAAGGGAGACAAGGAGACACTTTCCATGTATTATGACAATAATAATAAATTAAATACACTAAACGGGTGTATTGCACGATTGTGTATTTTTCTACAAAGAAAAATACACAATCGTAAGCATCGCTTGTAACATATATACGTGTGTCTATCTATAAGTTATTGTCAGCTGAAAAAGTATATTTCTCGTTGACGTTTGATAATTTTTTAATCCTTATCTTATTGAATAAACATATCAATTTTTCCAACGTTTTCGTCGAAGTATAAAGCAAGAATGCAGTAATTTTTAAAACTGTTTTTATATTTCGAACGTAATAAAAATTTACAGAAATCTAAGAATAGTTTATGCATTTAGAAGACAGCTAAACGTATGAAAAATATCTGAATACATATATAAATATTCAACTAATTCGATAATATAATCAAAACGATATCAGAGAATTTCAAATGTGTGAAAGCTTTGCTTTTCTTTTCGTATGTGTTTAGAAATTGTATCTCAATGAAGCAACACTTTCTACACAATAATCTGAATTGTCGTTCACTCAATGGTTGGATAGCCACGTTATTATTTTCATTGACAGATAAGTTTTTATATTTTTCATTTTTTCTTCTCAAAGAACAAATTATTAAGCACAATAATTTAATCTTATAATAATAATAATAATAAAATTTAAATAACTTATTATTGTAAAACTTGACAATAATTATCATAAAAAATTTTTAAAATTCCTTTGCACACAAATTATTTAGCTATTTAAATCATCTAAGAAAAATATAAAAAGAAATTGCTCCTCAAAGAATTTATAAAATAAATTATTGTAAATTTGGCAATTTATCAATCTCTGGAACAAGTAATATATTGCAAGAAATGTCAGTTTTTTCTTTCACAATAAAACAGTTGAAGAGGCTTTTAAAATAGATAAATATATTTTTGTTAAGATATGAAAGTGCACTTTGATATCTTTCTTGTAAATTAAGGAAAAAATGGTAATTGTTTATAAGCCATACACCAATGTTTTCTCTCTTAATTTTATTTACAATAGGGATGTACAGGTACATGTTAGACATGTCCAAAACACATAGAATATTTGAGGTGCCACTCATTTAAAAAACTCTATAAACAAAAAAGTCATATAACTAGTTACCTACTCTGCACTATTCCAGCTGCTATTGCTTAAGCGGTAAAATTATACACTCATTGATAAAAATGCATCAAGATTGTCTGTTTACTGCAAACCTCAGACAGATATGCAATTGATTATAGTTATGGTCTGTTGCATGCCAGGTAATGCCACCAGAGTGCCTTAAAATCCAGGGGCGTGCCGTGACATTTGATAATAGGGAAGCTGTGTTTCTATAAGAAGCCGACATCCAGGGGCAATCAGTTAATTCTTTCTTTAAATGTATTTTTAATAGATTATTCATCTGACGTACTTAATAAACAAGTTCATTATAATTACCTCTGTTATTAGATCCAATATATTCCATATGCCCTCTAAATGCCAATTCTCGCTTTGATAAAAACATATAACATCTATTTATTTACATATAATATATCTATTAACCGTAACTATCTCGTTATAATTTTCAATATTTATTTTATATTATTTACTAATGTTAAATTCTATTCCGCTTCGATTTCCAAATTGCTTCAAATACGAACGAATCGACGATTTTTCGTGTCTTTTGCCAGCTAAATTGTCAAAGACATTCTTATTCCACACACTAATTTCACTCTGTAATATTTCAATTTCTACTCATTCAATCCAATGTTTAAAAACATATAATGCAGCTGGAAAACGAAAAGAATTCCTTCAACGATATTTAAAATTTTTCAATTTGTACCGATAAAATATTTCGTGATTATTGTTAAACGGACTGAATTCCGACGTCTTCTATCGAGAAAAATTATTACATGTTATAATGGCGTAATTCTGAAACATATTCGCTTCTTAACTGCTCTTCTGGGTATCCATACACGACAGTGGGGTAATCGTAGCATTACGCGAGTCTTTATTACCGATTTCTACTCATTTTCATATAATAAAGTAATGAATAATCCTTAATAAAATATTAACCAAGTCAAACGAAATCGTGGAAAGAATCGGCAGCGTTACTCACGCGTGACTTACGTTCACTTTACACTTTACCAGTCCATTATTTTATTTAGGGCCAATCAACCAGTTACAATATATTACATAGAATGGCCGTGACCTTAGATACGGCGCTCTTGGTGGCGACGACCGGCACTATCTACCGCCATTTTACTTTAAGTCAAAATACTAAAGTCTATACAACGCGTTTAGAATTTGTTTTTCTCATCTAAATCTAGACTCT